CCTTCTGATTTCAAACAATGGACTGAAAATAATTTTTTAGCCTTGAAAGCTACACTTGACAAATGTATTCCTTTAATTCGATATTTTCAAATGTCTGGAAAAGAAATTGTAGCAAAAGTTAAACCTTATCGTAAAACCCTCGGATCAGACTTATGGAATGATATTGCGACAAAGATTATGGATCCTGATGCATCAATTTCCTCAACTATTTTACCTGCTCGTAAAAAAATTCCTGTTCAACTTCCTGTACGTACTCCCGAATTAAGTACTATCTGTATGGGATGTTCATCTGAAGCAAGTTACATCACACCAAACTATAGTATGAATGAGCATACACAAATAGTATCTCCTAACGGAAAATATAGATTAGTAATGCAGACTGATGGCAACTTAGTCCTATATGATGGTCCAACAGCATTATGGCAATCATGCACATGTGGTAAAGGTGATGGACCTTACAGAATGGTACTCCAGACTGATGGGAATCTTGTTGTGTACGCAGGCAATGGGTTGCCAATGTGGACATCTAATACTTGTAATGAACAAGTTAGCTATTTGGCCGTACAAAATGACGCAAACGTCGTCTTGTATGACAGAAATTGGAATGCAAAGTGGGCTAGAACATGGTAGAAATGCTTTCTCTATTCCTATTTAGGCACTTTGTTAGTTAGTTTTAATATGGTTAATTATTTTTTCCTTTCTCCGCATGTTCCTTTTCAAATTGTTTTCTTTTCTGTTGACGCCAGTTTTCACGTAATGCCTGGGTTGGCTCAGGCTTTTGGTTTGGGGAACTTGCTACTTGTTTTTGTGAAATTTCTTAAGAATTTTGTATAGTGGTAAGGGTGTGTTCGAGATTTTGGTAATTGGGACAAATTTCAGCTGTTAAATTCTGGGTGTTAATTGCTAGTGTTTATTTAACACTTTTTTAACACCTTTATTTTTACGTTTTACGGTCACATTACAATTTATATCGAACGGTCTACTGCGCATTCTTGGATCGCAATATTTTGACCCAAAAATAATTTTGCCGAATGTAATGAACAAATCATACAATTAAGGAACAAATTATATTGTTTTTATTCAATTTTTATAAAGTACGAGCCTAAAATTTTTAACAATTTATAGTGACAAGATTTTAAATGATGTTCAGAATCTTCAAAATGCGATTGGACAATTTTCAAATTTCAAAGCTTGAAATTGGATACGCTCAATAAATGTCAATATACTTTATAAATTTCTTAGAAAAATATCAAAATCATGTAAAAAATTAATAATCTAAACTTGTAATCGTTAAAGTTCCTGCATTTGAGAGTAACATTGAGATTAAAAATTCTATTATATCAATTATAATTTTACGTAATGCCCCAGAACCTACGATTATCGAATGACGATTATTTGAAGCAAACTTGTTAAAGTCAGATTAATATCAGCAGTTTTATTATTACTTCCACCAGTGTTATCATCAGTTTCTAATTTATTCTCTTCTTCTTCTTCTTCTGCTTCATATTCATTATCTTCTTCGTCTTCTTTGTCAGAATAATATGAAGAAGAAATAGTTTAAAAAGAAGCTTTAACTAACGATTTAGATTTATCGATTTATCATTCATCCTATAAGAAAATTAGATCATAATGACATGAGGGATAGCACAGGTTTTGGTAGCACAGATCAAAACCGGTTTTTGTACGTAAGAGGCTTGGATCTGCACAGGTTTGGTGGCTCGTGTTTGACCGTATGTCTGTGCAAAGTGAACCATTAATGACTCAGGTTTTGCAACACTTTACTAGTTCAAATGGCACAGGTTTTGGTATGAGTTTGGTATGGTTTGGCATTACTTACTATTACATATATACAGTGGGTAGGGTGCACCTACATAATTTTACTTAATTACTAACCATTAGGGCTTACATTTATTATGACCAAGGTTATAGCTTCTACTATATGTATAATCACCTCCCTATCATTTTTTATTAGCGCACTGAGAGGGTTTAGATATTAGTTTTCTTGTATTTTTCATTTTTTCACTTGTGTTGTTCTTTTTTTCTTCTTTGGTCTGATCTGTGTTAATCAAAACAAACAAGCTGATTGGCCATATATCATGCAATTGCACCTGATTTATAAAATGTATATATACATATCATTCAATATGTGCCATTTTGTATGATATTACATTCCTGTACATATGATGTGATACAACATGCCACTATCTTTTCATAATTTCTGTATTATTTTTACATTATAAAATGTGACTATACATGCCACAAGCCTATATTATTTTGTGCATTTCTGAAACCAATCTGCACCACACCCAGACTACTTTATTTATAGGGTTATCATTGTATATTACTTTCTGTAATATATTATTTTTGAAATTTTTTTGCCCACTTCATCTGCAAGTCACAAAATCTTTTAGCTTGATTTACATAGAATAAAGAAAAGCAAAATTATATAATTTACAATTATAATAATTAAAATTATAATAATTACTTATCCTTCATAATCTTCAAGACTTATAGTAAATATAAATTATATAATTATCTGTTTTTTTCTTGTTTTTAGACTGAATTTTCAAACAATGTTCTGTTTGTATTTTTTTATAATTAGTTTTAGATATTTCATCCTAATAGTAGTCTTTGTGTTTGATTATTTTTTTAATATCTTTTTTAAAATCATTCCAATGCATTGTAGAGCAAGATCTTTAAAATTTTTATTGTTGTCACTAAGCATGTAATTAATGTCTCAAAGTCTTCTTTGTTTTTTATATAATTCAGTCAGGAGTATTCCGCGATATAGAAATGATCTGCAAATATATTAGAAGGGTATTCTAAAATTGATTTCAATTTAAAAAACAAAAGCATTTTTTATTATC